CGAGGAGTAGAACGAGAATAATGGGAATGGATGTGTTGATGATGAGGAGGATGAGGATGAGGATGATGCTGCTGACGATGATGATGATGAGGAGGAGGATGAGGATGAGGATGCTGATGCTGATGAGGATGATGATGATGATGATGATGAGGAGGAGGAGGAGGAGGAGGAGGAGAACGAACTTGAATATGGAGGGGAAGATAACGACTGCAAGATCCGGGTGGCTTGGCCCCTGGCCCCCAGGTCCTCAGCGGGCCAGGCGCACATGCGCATCTGGCGAGCCAGAGTCAGTCCCGAAAGCCAAAGCCCCTCCTGACCCCAGAGTGGTCCTGATCTCAGCGTCTTGACTGTATGGCTGAAGTGTGCCCGCACGCGCGCGCGAACGCGTGCGCCAAGGTTCCCTATCGGAGTGTCGACTGCCTCAAGAGGAAGGCTTCGGGAAAGTATGTCTTGATGTTTTTCAATGCTGTGTGGCCATCTCCGGAAAAAATCCTGGGTACCCTGGAATGGACCTCTCATTGGAGGGTTCGCCTTCACTTCTGCCAACTTCCGCGAGGCTTCCACCAGCGGGCCGCCCTCGTTCTGTACTTCCGCTGAGGGCGAGCGATCAACGCTTCCATTCCTCGACAGCGTGTTCCTTTTTTGGAAGACGCTGCGCGATTTAAATGATCTTCCACGTGTTCGCACTGTCCGCGACATCACGCGCTCCCGCTCGCGCCCACGAGCGATTGGGCCTAGGCCCAGCCGGACTCGGGGCAAGCCCCCGAGCCAGCAAAGACCTATCGAAGCGCCACCGGATCGACGACATTCACAAATCCAGGACGGTCCCTTACACTAGGCGGGTGCCGTGCACAATCGCCACCAGACGTGCAGAATGGAGACTCAGAAAAGAACGCGAGGGGACGGTCAAAACAATCGCAACGACGACGACGCCCGCGAGCAGGCCTGAACCCCATTTATGGATCGTTGCCTAGGGCGCTGCTGCGTGACCAGCCCCCGCGGGCATTTCTTGATCGTCATCCCGCATTGGGAGGGAGGGGACGCGCAAAACCTTCCTGGTCGCCGCGGTGGTGAACGCGCCCCGCGTCCAGAGGCTGAGCAGGGGCGCTGCTGGGCGACGTGTGCACGAGCAGGCCGGAGACGGAGGAGGACGGCCGCGGAGGCGGAGGAAGAACGGCGCCGCAGCCACACGCAGTGAAGCACCTGTCCTTGGGACGCAGATTTCGGGGGGAGCCCCGCCGCGGCGAGGAAGAAGAGCCCCATCGGAGAGGCCCGAGGAGGGCCAAGAGCGTCCATCCCCACATCCGAGGAGGGCCATAACACCCCCCCCTCCTCGAGAAGGGGAAACACGGCGCAAACTTTAACTTTTGGCGCTCCGCGAGGATTTCTTGGATCCGCGCTGGGTCTCCCCCCTGGTGCGCGGAGCGCGCCAGGGGCGGCGCCGGAGGCGCCGCAAGGGGGCCCCAGCGCGGATCCAAGAAATCCGCGCGGAGCGCCACAAGTTTACGCTTACGGGATTTATCCTCACTCGACCCCCCCCCCCCCGCCGAGCTTTTCTCCTCTCGAGCCGAATCCTCCAGCCTCCCGCCCCGAGCTTTTCTCCTCTCCGACCGAATCCTCCAGCCTCCCGCCTCGACGCCGAAGGTCGGGGAGCCCGGCGCCCGACCGAAGGCATCTTTTCTCCTCTCGGACGTCGAAGACGGCGGCGGGATGAGGAGGCAGTGCCCCCAAACAATATCAGAGAAACTATGGATTCAGTTTGTGTCGGGGTTTCGGTTTTCTGCTATGCCTGGCGGCCCATAGGGGCCAGACGGATCGCGAGGAGGCGGATGAGGAGGAGGAGGAGGATGATGATGAGGAGGGGAAGGAGGAGGAGGAGGAGGAGGAGGAGGAGGAGGAGGAGGAGGAGGAGGAGGAGGAGGAGGGGCCATCTGTTTCTTATCGGCGCGGGACCCGGATCAATGGCGCGCAAAGCGCTCCAGGTGAGGCGACGGAGGCCGCCGCCACGGGGGCCCAGCGCGCCGATCCAAGGAGTCTGCGCGGACCTCCGAGAGATCATGTGCATTCAGGTAATTGGCCATCGAGTGTTCGCACTCGAGTGGACGAGCGCGTTCCACTACTTGCAAAGTGTCTACTCGCACATGGCCTGGATCCGCCGCGGGGGACCTGCGATAAATTACATGGAGGCAGACACGTGCTTTTTCGGACGTTTGCGAGCAAGCTCTTGGCGAGTGGTGGAACGCGCTCGGTGATCACGGGCTCCCACTTCGCTTTCTCAAGCGCCTGGACGGGTCCGTGCCGGGGTGCCGCCTGGTGCCCGCCGACGGCCGCCCCGGTTGGCGCCTCGCGTGCTGGGTGGGCGTGTGCCGAGGGTTCGCCCGGTGGGCGTGCCGAGGTCTCGCCCGGTGCCCGCGCGTGGTGGCCTCGCGGGGGCCTCGTGCGCTGGGCGGGTGCGCCAAGGTTTCGCCCGATGCCCGCTGGGCGGCCGCGCAGCCTGCGCGGCCTAGCTTTACTACCCACCTGCACCGCATACCTTGCACCACATAGCCTGCACCACAGAGCCTGCACCGCACAGTTTGCACCACACAGCTTTCGCTGCATCCAGGGCACCACGCAGCTCACATCACAAGCCTTGCACACGCAGCTTGCATCGCCTTGCATCACATAACCAGCCTGCACTGCACAGCTTGCACCGTATAACTTGCTCCACGTAGGCTGCGCCGCACGGCCTGCACTGCATCTATGTTGCAACGCGTAGCTTGCGCGGCACAGCTCATTCGCCCACGGTGAAACATCTTACGCTTGAAAGTCCATGCTGGCTGACGTGCTGTTTTTGCTTTTTCGAAGGATTGCAAAAAAACCCAAGGATTGCAATGAAGGATTGCAAAGGATTGCAATCCTTCATTGCAATCCTTGGCCGTTTTGCAATCCTGGGTTTTTTTTGCAATGTTTCCTCGGACGCCGAACACGAACGGAAGATGGTGGCATCCCTGAGAGCCGGCGGCGCGGCGGGACGCACCGGGCGCCGCGGCGGATTTGGGAGCGTTGTATCCTCGTCCCAGCTTAGCGCACGGGGGGCAGAAGGATTGCAAAAAACCGAAGGATTGCAAAAAACCGAAGGATTGCAAAAAACCCAAGGATTGCAAAAAACCCAAGGGTTTTTTGCAATCCTTGGTTTTTTACAATCCTTCGGTTTTTTGCAATCCTTCGATCAATCACATCCTGCCGCTTGGAGAGACTTTGGCGAGGGTGGCAAAATGATCTCCATGACGACGAGGCCACGAGCGGGCATATCATCTACCACCCGGCGTACGAAGCGACTCCCGGCCCGTTGCTGCGTGACGGGGCCCCCCCCCGAGGCACTGCATGTTGGCGAAGGGTAGGCCTGCCTGATCTCCGCGGGCGGCAGATATGCGCGGGCGCTGGAAAACCTTCCTTTCGGGCACACGTGTTTGTTCCTTGTTTTCTTTTTCTCCCCGCAGTCGGCACTACTGCTCAGAGGCTCTCCTGCTCTCGATGCTTCAAATGTTTTTCACATGGGGCCGGGGGCCCTTGCCCAGAACTGACTACCTACCAGACCACCTCAACCCAACCCGAAGGCCCGAATTTGACCCGACTTTCGGGTTGGGGGGGGTACGGATCCCATGTGTTTTTTCGATGTTCCCCGACCCCCCCCCACTGGAAATCGAGGATCAATTTGGGCCTTCGGGTTGGGCTGGGGTGGCTTGGTGGGTGGTGAAGAACAACTCGGTGTGTGTGTGTGTGTAGCAGGTCTCGGTTTCAATGCGAGCTGTTTCGGGCACGCGCACATGTGGATGACGGAGCCGTGGGTCTGGCGCGTCGGCGCCAGACCCACGGGTCGGGGAAAATCCCCCCCGGAAGCATGATCGGGGAGACGTAAGACCCGGGTACGGGGGACTCGAAAATTCCCGACGAGGTCGTCAAAAAAATGACGAGGCCGAGCCTGCATTTTGACGAGGCCTCCCGCCGCAGACATCCCACGAAACTCCTCCTCGCCAAAATCCGAGGCGCGGTCGTCAAAAAACGATGGCGAACCCAAGTCCTGGCAAACCCGGGTCTTACGCTCCCCCGAACATATGGATGACGGATCCGTGGGTCTGGCGCGTCGGCGCCAGACCCACGGGTCGGGGAGAATCCCCTCTGGAAACGTGCGGCCCATGCTGCCTTTCTGGCGACGGAGCGCGCCGAGTCTGTACGGCAGCGGGACCCGTCGCTAATCCAGTCGCCATCATCCAGATCCAGCAGTGCTCCAAAATACCAACAGATCGCCCCCGTATGTTTTAGGACCAGTTTTGAGTACTCCTCCTGAAGAGGGACAGGCCCGACTTACGTCTAGAACATTCGTGCCGTGTTTTCTTCTTCTTCTGCGACAGTCCCCCGCCGAACGTCGCCCTCGAGTGCTTGCGCTTCCCTGCTCCACGCGCCCCTCCCCAGCGGCACTCGTGTGCCGCCTCCCTGGGCGGGGGGTGCGGGGGGGGTGGGGCCAGCGCAGGGCGAAGCTCTGTGAGCCCGCGGACGTCCGCAGGTCCGCTGGAGGCGAGGGACAAACTCGGGCGTTGGCAGAACTCGGTTTAGTGGGACCTGGTTTAAGGATGTGTATGTACTGGGGGACGCCGCCCCCGCCCCGTTCCACTAACCGGTACTGCCGTCACCCGAACAAAAACAACTACGGCAGACCTGGTTCTGTGATTCTGGCCAATTTAGGGGCTCCTGGGCCCTACTACTAACCGGGTCCCCTTACCTGGGGACCTGGCTATACCCGACAAAAGGCATGAGCCTTGCAAACTTTCGGAAATCCGCGCGGATCTCTTGAATGGGCGCTGGACCCTCCCTCCACTGGCGCGCGGAGCGCGCCAGGGGGCGGCGCCGGAGGCGCTGGCAAGGGAGGCCCAGCGCCGATCCGAGAGACTCGAGATGCGCGCGGGCCTCCGGTGCGAGCCATCGCCAGTAGACCTCGCAACGAAAAAAAGGCCGCCGTCCTTGGAACGCCTTCCACACGGCCTCAAGGCCCTTCAGCAGCACGTCTGGGTAGCAGTGCTCCTTGACGAAGCCGCCCCAGCCGCCTCCGCCAAGTATGATGGGGGCGGGCGCCGCGGGCACCTGGGCCACGGATGAGGAAGGACGGACTTGGAACGCTCTGCGGCAACCCATGTGAGCCTCCCATACCATCTTGTCGGCTCCTCGTGGCATCGACGCGACTCGACGCTAAATCGACGCTGATCGACGCTGATCGACGCTGCTCTACGCTACTGCGTCGGTTACCAGACGCGAATCGAAGCTAGTGCACTCTGAAGACGGAACTGCGAGGGCATACGAGGCTCTCATTTGCCGGGCGTGTCGCCGCGGCGGGGTCGGCGACATGCTATTGCCCTGCAAGCGGACAGCGTGTTGCTCCGCTCCGCGGGTGGGAGGCTCGGAAAAGCTCAGGACGCTGCCGCGTGGGGACGAGGAAGTGGACAGCGTGTCGCGCCGAAGCGTGGTGGGCTAGAGCTGGCGGAGCGATACGTTATCCAAACGTCCCCGACCGTAGGAGGGAGGAGCGGTCAGCATCGAATCGATAGGTCGGACAAGATCGGACCATGCGTAGAATCGGGCCGCATCGGAATGGCTTCGGCATCGAATCGGATCGGCATCGCCAGCATACACGGCAACGCTATGCGGACATGCGGGCCGCATCGCATCGTCGAACTATCGGAATCGAATCGGATCGAGCCGGCCAGAACAGATATTCCCTTATCAGCGCTTGCACTAAAGGGGTCCTAGCGGATATTGAAAGATTTGGAAAACATCCCGCCGATGTTGGTGGCCGGCTGGGTTCCAGGGTTCCTCTGTTCCCTGTCGATCTCCTTATCGATCGAACCATCCACTGATTGGGGCTTCTCTGGTGTAATCGAATCAGATCGGTCGAATCGAAACGGGCCCTGAGGAACAGTTCTCTGAGCGCTGGGGAGAGACCAGGCGCGTGGCTGCACACACGACGGTGCCTCTCCAACTCGCTGGAGCAGCGAAATCCTTCGTTGGGCTCTGTACGTGTAGCAGTGGGCTCAGAGATCACTTGCTTCAGCGCGCCGTCTCGGACTCGCGCCTGAGCCTTCAGCTCAAAGCGCGGTTCTGGGTCCACGGTCCCTCATTCCGCTAAAACAGCCCCTCCCACTCTGCTTCGGCCTCGACCCCTACTTTAGGTCGGGCATGTCCCCCTGCAGGCGGATTTAGGGCGAAAGATAAAAAACAACGAAACAAAATATATGAAAATAATAGCTAAACAATAATCGAAAAATCGTCCACAGACTATTTGTACTATTTTTGACTATTCCTCCTGTAGAGGGACAGGCCCGGCTTCATGCTAAAACTGCCCCTCCAACTCCCCCTCGGCCTCGACCCCTGCTTCTGCCTCCACCGTCGCCCTCCTCCTCCTCCGGAGCCCCTCCCTCGCCTAGCCACTTAACCCTTGTCCTCGGACGCGTGGCAGGGCAGAGGCTGCGAGGGGGCCTTCGAGCAGATGCTGCGCAAGGCGCAGCGACACACCAACTCTTAGGTCGGGCGTGTCCCCATACAGGCGGATTTTGGACGAAAAAGGAAAATTGTCAAAGCATACCCCCAAATAGTCCAACATAGTAAAAGATTGTCCCAAGACTATGTTTTGACTGTTCATGAACATTCCTCCTGTATAGGGACAGGCCCGACTTAAACCAACCCGTTTCCTGCTCGGGACCCTGAAATAAGAGTCCATCGTTTCACTACTTCCCCACAGCAGAGCCGCTGGAACTGCACGTTGGTGGTTCGTGCCACTATCCTGCCAGTGCACCTCTGACGTGCCTTTTTTGTGTGCGTGCGTGCGTGCGTGCGTGCGTGCGTGTGTGTGTGTGTGTGTGTGTTTGTGTGTGTGTGCGTGCGTGTTTGTTGCTTATGTCGCAAAATATTGTTTCAAATATGCTTCTCTCCCTCTCTCTCTGTAACTCTCAACTCGGTCCCTTCGTGTACGTACTCGGGGTGTGGGCTGGCGCCGACTTGGGGACGCCTGCTGTGCTGGTCAGCCCACCTCCTGAGCCCGCTGTGGGTCTGGAGTGGGGGCCGCTGGGTGGGCTGAGGCTGCGGGGCCTCTGGGGTCCCCGCCGAACTCGCCTGGGGCGGGTAGCGCGTTCGAGCGGACTGCACCTCTGCAGCTCTGAGACCCCAGTGAGCACCAGGAGCGCGAAGAAGAAACATAATAATACAAAGAATACAAATGACAATGATAAGACGACGAATCAAACGAATAGAAACAATAATAATGATATCAACGATAATAGTACTAAGATTCATATGCATACAACCAATAAGACTATGATGTGTAAAAGCGGTAATACTAGCGTTATTACTCATAATAAGAATACTCACGACAATAAGAAGAAGAAGAAGAGGAACAATAAGGAGGGGCGAAACGATCAGCAGCAGAGGCGTCTGCGTCTTTCAGCTCCCGCGCCCTCCACTCTTCGCCGCGCCGAGACCACGAAGCTTGGCTCCGAAGCCGAGCGACTCTGCGCCAGACCGCGACGGACACGCCGGCCGCGCTGCTGAAAATCGCGCGGGACGCATGGAGGAGGCCGGAACATCGGAGGAAGGACGGAGGCTACGCGGCCGCCCGAAACATGGCCAGCTTCACACAAACCAGGGACGGCATCATGCCGCGTCGCCGCTCACCGGGAGCACCAGCTTGTTGCCGTACCACTTGCTCTTCGCGTAGTAGTAGAAGAAATCGCAGTACAAGCCCGTCTGGACGAGTCCACCGATCCACCCGACCACGTTGACGTAATCCTCCGAGAAGTAGCGGTATATCCAATTGAGGATGTAGAAGAAGCGGTAAGCACCCAGGGTACCGACAAAGTCGGCTGTGAGGTTCTCAACCTCGCGCGCTTGCTGAAGAAGGATTAGCTGCGGCAGCAGCGACACGCTTTCCAGCCAGATAGACGTGGACCACAGGATGTCTGGTATGGTGTACTCCTCGGCGCAGAGCAGGCCGATGACGAAGCACGGGCCAAGAACATACAACTCGTACTGGAACGAATCAGTGCTTCGCTCGTACGTCTGGGAGATCGGCACCTTGTACCGCATAAGGTATATCAGATACACTGTCGTCGTAATGAACACCAACTTCATGGTAGTATTGTAGAGCGAGATGTAGCTCCAGAACAGGTCGAGGTAGCGGAAAATGAAGACCATCGCGTACATCTCCTGCATGCGGCACGACACTCCAACACAACTCTTGCTCCTGTGCAACTTGAAGACGAGCAACATGATGCTCGTCAAGTGAAGCATGTCTCCACTGAGTCGGAAGATGTTCATCCTGCGAGATAATCCCAGATTCGCTGTGACAGACCTTGACCTTCCTTGCGGCGCAGGGCCAGTCGAAGCAAGATGGCTTGAGCCCAACTTGCTGCGGAACTCAATCGTGTGACATGGGAAAAATGGCAGTCAGTCGCGGTGAGCCCAATTTGTATTGGCCTGTCCCAAGTTCGTTATCATTGTCGGGCAAACGAACGTGCTCAATTCCAGGCACTTGCAAATGTGGTTGCTGGCGAGATCGCCAGACCGGCTTCACCCCAACAATACTTAGCAACTTGGACAATCCAGGCTAAAGCTACGTCCGGCTTTGTGGGTCACGTACGGTAGGTTCGTGCGGCGTCGGCGCGCGCAAAGGCGTTTGACACCGCGTCGATCGCTCAACCTTGAATCGATCGCGGCCCCGATCGTTCAAGGTCGAGGCCCGTCGGGCCCAGTGGGGTCACCGTGCCCCTCGGTGCCTCCGTGCCTCCGCGTCGCAGAATTCAGCCTTGAACGCCTTCGCCGGCGTCGCCGCCGCGCCAACGCCGCACGAACCTGCCGCATCTTCCGAATCGCGCCCTGCGATGCGCAGCGCACGGTTCTGCTCGCGCCCTCGTGCAAACCCCTCTGGAAAAGGGCAGCTCTCCGGCCCGGGCGGCGGCGCGTCAGGCGCGGCCATCTCCGCGGCCATCCAGGCGCGGAGGGAGTGCAAGCAGTGAGGCGCGCGTCGGGTGCCTGCCCGAGCTGTGGCTCGCCTGACGCGGGCGGCAAGCGTGGGCTCCGAGGGAACTCGTGCTGCAGAGATGTGCCTCCCCACCCCCCCTCGCCCCGCTTTGATTCTGCCCCCCCCCCAACAGCTCCCACAAGAGGCGACTTTCTGGGCTCCAGACGGGCGATGCTAACTCATGAAGGCTCCCCCTTCTTCGATCGATGTCCCTCAAGATGATCCCAAGAGGTCGCCCAGGGCCCCCAAGATGGCCCCAAGAGAGCCCCGAGGGCTCCCGAAATAGATCCAAGGCGGCCCCAAGAGCACCCGAGAGCGCCCCAAGAGGACTCCAAGTGGTGATTAGTCGAACTCAAGAGGGGCACCCTTACTTCGCGCCGCCCACATGTTTGAACGATGCCCTCGAAGATGGCTCAAAGGATCCCAAGGCCCCCAAGAGGTCCCACAGCGAGAGATCCGCAGAAGCCTGTATGGTTGAATCATCGCCGTCGTCGTCGCCATCGCCAACGCCTGCTCTTGCATCCTCCTCCCCCTCCCTCTGCTCCTGCTCCGCCTCCTCCCACCTAGCGTTCACCAGAAGAAGGGTGGGAGCGTGCACCATCACCCTTATACGGCTTATGCTCGTCTTTCTTCTCCTCCTCCTCCTCCTCCTCCTCCTCCTCCTCCTCCCCCTCCTGGGCACAATTTTGGGATGGGCGGGTTGGGATACGCGAAGCGTCGAGTCTCCAACGGCCAAAAGGCGTCACCACTCCGAGAGCTAGACTGAGCTGGAAACTAGCCGACTTCCACACGGCGTGGCAAGTGGGTTGCTGCGCTGTGCCGAGGCGGTGCCGCGCCGCGATAGCGGGTCCATATAGAACATATTTAAGCAACCACGGTATTTGTTATCTGCTTTCCTATTGCTTGTTGCTTGTGTATGTTTTTCCTAACACCGGCTGCACACATGAGTGACCCTGGCCAAGAGTGACCTTTGGTGCGCGGCTTTGGGGGGGGCCGTTCCAGCGAAAAGTCACTCTTACGCGGAGCCGATGACAGGCAACCCCAGAAGTGCAGGCACAGGCAAGAATGGCGCGGATCGAGAGGCACGGAGAGGATCGCAAGGTTGGCCTGCGCTGGCGCGGTCAAGTAGAAGTACATAAGGGGGAGGAAGCGGTCGATGACCTCGGCGCGGTGGGGGGGTCGTTGCTCTGCTCCTGCTGCTCAGGTGCCCGCCGCCAAGGTGCAATCGAACGATGGCTGCCGCCAAGCCCAAGTGCCATCGAACACTGCCTCTCCACACGAACGAGTTGGCCACCGTCCTTGGACTCGCAAAGCGCCGCGAGCCGCGCGGCGTTGCAAAAGAGAGCGACCAGACCGCCAAGATGATGGGGACGAGGATGGGATAGCAACAGCCGCCATCGAATCGCGAACTCGCGTCGGGCCGGGACATGCATCGAGTCGGCTGCGCTAGGGTGCGCAACAACGCCATGCAAACATCGGGCCACATCGGATCGACGGGATATCGTCATCGAGTCGGGTCGGGCCGGCTAGAATCGACATCGAATCGGATTGACTGGATCGAAATGAAGCCTGTGAGGACGCGAGTCTGGGGAACGGCTCGTGCGAGAAGTGAGGTCACAATGGGTTTGAAATCTGCGACGGAACTAGGTATGCACAACATCCCCACCCAAGCTCCCAGTGTGGTAGGAGTAGGAGGGAGAGTGAGGACTGTAGAAAACAGCGCGGGCCCCAACGAACATTCGGCGTACCACTTGCTCTCACTTTGCGCGCCCCCTCCCGGAGATGTCTGAAAGAACAGAGACACTATTCTGGACCTCCGACAGGCTACCTGGAGAATCACCCACTCTAGGAAACTCTGAAGCGAAATAATGCGGAAATAACACATCAGAGCAGTTTCCAGCGACCGTCGGATCTAGGCCAGAAGAACATCCCTCAAGAACATGAGACCCTCTGTCGGCAAAAACAAACAAAACGTCCAAGGGTACCCTCCCCAGGATGCACAAGCACACCCAACAGACACGAAGAACCCTAGGATACCCTCCCCGAAGCGACCTCGATCGTATACCTCGGTCCGACTGTGGAGGCCAGCCCACGAGACACCTTCCACTAGAAACCCACCCCTGAGACCCCAGGACGTCCATCGATTCTTCGTGTGGGAACGTCACGCTGTGCATGGCTTTACACCAAAGAAAAACCCAATGGGATCCATAAGGAGATCGACGGGGAACCTGGGAACCCCGGAACCCACCGAAATCGGCCCGGAACCAATGACCAAGAACCCGCGGGAACCCGGGAATTCGGAACCGGGAACCCGGGAGCCCAGCCGGCCACCATTTGGCGGGACACTTTCGCCAAATCTATCAATGTCCGCTAAGACCCCTCCAGTGCAAGCACTGATTGGGGAAGAACCACCGAAACCTGAGAAACCCGGGGCACCCTGGAGGCAAGCACCCTGATATCCGACGTTGCAGAAACCTGCGACATAGTAAAAACCGCGACTGGACCCTGGGACCTTATCTTGCTGCGTCATTTTTCGAGCCGGATCGATCTGTGAGGGTCCCGGAGCCCGAAACGGCGGAGCGAAAGCGCCCGGCTCGGAAAAGTTGAGTCGCCAGGATCTCAGGGCAGGGTGCTTCTCTCGGCACGGGCCTCCACGGCACGAGCTGCGGAGCTCTCCTCTCGGTGGCTCGCCGCTGCGAGCGCGGCGCAGACAGGTCCGCCCCCGGCGGCGCGCGTTGGAGCACCTCCGGGCGACGCCGGCCCTGCCCGCGGAGGGCGAGGGCTGGGAGCACCCCCCGCGGGGCCCCCCAGGTCCGGCCGGCATCGGCGCGCGCTCCCTACGCGTGATCCTGTGTTTTTGTTGTGGTCGCCATGTGCTGTTGGAGGGTCCCAGGGGGCGCACACACAAGTAAACAGACACACACACACACACACACACACGCACACACACACACGCCCACACACACGCCCACGCACGCACGCACGCACGCACGCGCACGCGCACGCGCACGCGCACGCGCACGCGCACGCGCACGCGCACGCGCACGCGCACGCGCAGACGCACGCGCAGACGCAGACGCAGACGCAGACACACACACACACACACACACACGCACACACGCACACACACAAACGCACACACGCACACATATGCACACACGCACACTCACACAACGCACACACGCACACGCACACCACACACGACACACACGCACACGCACACACACACACGCACGCACGCACGCACGCACGCCACCACGCACGCACGCACGCACGCACGCACGCACGCACGCACGCACGCACGCACGCACGCACGCACGCACGCACGCACGCACGCACGCACGCACGCACGCACGCACGCACGCACGCACGCACGCACGCACGCACGCACGCACGCACGCACGCTCGCACGCACGCACGCACGCACGCACGCACGCACGCACGCACGCACGCACGCACGCACGCACGCACGCACGCACGCACGCACGCACGCACGCACGCACGCACGCACGCACGCACGCACGCACGCACGCACGCACGCACGCACGCACGCACGCGGCGCACGCGCGCACGCGCGCGCGCTAACGCGCGCACGCGCACGCGCACGCGCACGCGCACGCGCACGCGCACGCGCACGCGCACGCGCACGCGCACACGCGCACGCGCGCGCACGCGCACGCGCACGCGCACGCGCACGCGCACGCGCACGCGCACGCGCACGCGCACGCGCACGCGCACGCGCACGCGCACGCGCACGCGCACGCGCACGCGCACGCGCACGCGCACGCGCACGCGCACGCACGCGCACGCGCACGCGCACGCACGCGCACGCACGCGCACGCGCACGCGCACGCGCACGCGCACGCGCACGCGCACGCGCACGCGCACGCGCACGCGCACGCGCACGCGCACGCGCACGCACGCGCACGCGCAGACGCAGACGCAGACGCAGACGCAGACGCAGACGCAGACGCAGACGCAGACGCAGACGCAGACGCAGACGCAGACGCAGACGCAGACGCAGACGCAGACGCAGACGCGCAGACGCAGACGCAGACGCAGACGCAGACGCAGACGCAGACGCAGACGCAGACGCAGACGCAGACGCAGACGCAGACGCAGACGCAGACGCAGACGCAGACGCAGACGCAGACGCACACACACACACACACACACACACACACACGCACACACGCACACACGCACACACACACACACGCACACACACACACACACACACGCACACACGCACACACGCACACACGCACACACGCACACATATGCACACATATGCACACATATGCACACATATGCACACACGCACACACGCACACACGCACACACGCACACACGCACACACGCACACACGCACACACGCACACACGCACACACGTACACGCACACGTAAACGCACACGCACACACACACACACACGTTCCAGGACTCCCCATGTTTTCCTGTCTTTCCTGGGTTTTCCTCCTCCCCCCCCTTCCCATACTCTCCCATATTTTCCTGGGAATCGAGGATCAATTGTGTCTGTGTTCTTTTTTTGACCTCCCGAGTAACCAATCTCGATCGCTCGAGGTCCCCTGTGTAAGTCCATCCCCATCTGTGTATTCTTCCACCCGCCAGAGAGATGCCGACCACGGCACCCCCTGCGTGTGACTCCCGTCGCCCGACACTTCGGCCCGCGCCCGCGCGCGCCAAGCCCCTCCCTATGCGCCGCTGCACGCCCCGGTTCTGGCGAGACAAGGGACCGCACATGGACAGTAGATTCGAACCCTGTGTCCTAAACCCCAGACCCCCCGAAATTAATATTGATGGCGTAACGACGGGGGGGGCGTGAGTGGACAGGAATATTTGAACCCCAGAGCACCTTTACTGAGATAACATTGATGTCGGGGGCGTGGGGATGATTTAGAAGATCACTCGAAAGTGTAGGGGCTCGAATCTATTGTGCATCTACTGGAGCTTACTCAGGCCCGGCTGACGAGAGGCCTTCTGCGCCTGGACGGCACGGGCTTGCCGCAGGCTCCAAGGAGCACGAGGGCAGATGTTATCCTACATAAAAAACTTTCGCTGAGGGGGGGGGGACAGATCGCGCGCACCGCGCATACGGTCACCGCGCACCTAGCCGATAAACGGGTCACAAGTGCCGTACACGGCTTAGGGAATCAGACAACTTCGTCGAGTGCGCGCAGCTCACTTCGCCCAGATCCTCCCCCTGAGCCACTTGGAACACTTGTAGGCCACCGATGCGCTAGGTTCGGCCAGATATAGTCCACCTTAGCATTCACTTACAACCACCCCGCTGATCCAAACAGAGCTGTCAAGCAGGGGCCTCAGACGAGCATCTGGCCCCTCAGAGTCCCCTGCAGAATCCCACCAGCCCTTTGGGCTTAGGTGGTCCACCGAATTCATTATTTCCTCTTCCAAAGCCCTCTTTCCTTCGGGGAGGGGTACGTTCCCCCTCCCCTTCCTGAGGTCTTTGTTCGGAAGTTCCGCGAAGTGTCAGGGAGCCCGTTTTCGCCCAATGTGGCTCCTAGAGGGCCTCGGATACTCCAAGATGGCATGCAAAGCGGCTCAAGATAGCCGAAGATGGTTCAAGATGGCTTCCGAAATGCCTTCAAGAGGCCCCATCAGGCCACATGCCGGCTTCAAGTGCTTTCGGAGCAACCTCACGACCCCCCCAAGAAACCCAAATCCTGTAAACACCTGAAGAGTATCACTGATTTGCGTCCTCATCTTTTAGCTTCCGATGGCTCCAAACTCCAAGATGGCCCAAACGAGCCCCAAGAGGGGTTCAAGAGGTCCCCAAGACGAGCCCAACACCGCCAAAGAGCGTCCCAGGAGGCGATTTCGAGGGCTCTTGGGGGAGCTCGAGAAAGGACCCCCTTCTCTTTGATCGATGACCTCCAACAGGTCCGCCGAGCTTCCACGGGACCTCCAAATGGGCCCCAAGAGCGCCCAAGAGCGCCCCCCAAAGCGTCCTACGACGGCCCCAAGAGGCGGTTTGTCTTCTCCTCCTCCTCCTCCTCCTTCCTCCTCCCTTTGCCCCCCCCCGCGGGCCCCAGGGATGGCCCGAAAAGTCCCTCCAAGGCCGCCCCCTTGCTCCCAGAGATCTTTCTGTTCGTCCTGGTTGCCCGCTTTGTTTCGCTTGA